CACTTCCTTACAGCAAGATAAAATAATAATTCAAGGAGAAGTTATTATAAAGAGATTTATATTTGCAATAAAATACAGTACTTCCACTTACCTTCATAATCCCACAGTTCATTGTAAGGTTTTCCTGGTTCTCCAAGTGGGGCTGGAGGATCATTGAAAAATGGAGCACTAACTTCCATCATCACTCCTCCATCACCTGGATTCAGCCTGACAAACACTGGTTCATGCTTCACTGGGAAACCATCCCAAGTGTGTTCAATTTTAAAATCCATCTGAAGATTCTAAAGGAAAAAAAAATTTAAAAAAACTCTTTAACAATAAACAAATGTTTCCTTTAGTTGGAAATGAAATGAAAATTTCAATGTCAAAAAGCAGACAGGAAGGCAGCAGAGTGACAAGAACACAGTTCTGAGAGTCAAAAGGCCATTTGTGTTATGGCAAACCATGGACAGGAGTTCTACTGTAAAATAGGTAACTGGATCCTAAAAGTTTTAGAACTAGAAAAGTTTAAGAACTAAGTCTAGATCCAGCTCAAGTCACCTTGTAAAGAGTGTATCAAAATCATTTTTAAAAACTGTAATTAAGTCCACAGAAGAAACTGTTCATATATACTTATGAACTTATATACTTAACGACTATAAACACTACGAGTTTCTATGCCATCCTTTGTCTTTTATTCTAAAGTGTGCAGGTGTCCGAATTATTGGATCCCTTGGGAATCAAGATCTTTATAATAAAATTCAATCTGATAAAAAAAATAACTCTATAAATCAGCAGAAGCACTGCTGCTAACACTTGTTTCTTTGGCTAAAACCCTTTCTTTGTAGGGTGGGAGTTGCAGGGAGGGGAGTACTCCAACCATTTCAAGGTTAATAGAGTTTAATATTGTCTTCCTTGGTCTCAGGGTATAGATTTTCTTAGCTGCTTCAATTGTTGAAATTTCACATGTTAAATGACCACATGTTTGGTTAATCCCTTCTCTCCAATTGAAAAATGGGAACAGAATTTATCATTTAAACTTTGAAATAGACTAAATACATTTGCTACAAGCAGCATTTGCATTTTAGATTTTTTCTCTAAGGATTAAATGGACATAAATAGCATTACATTAATAAAATTACATTTTTTATTAAACACTACATATCAGGCATTTTACAAACATTATCTCATTTAATTTCACAACAAACTTGCAAAGAACTATTTTTATCCTCATTACAAATGAAGAAATCGATTTGTCCAAGGTCATATGGCTGGCAAATCATGAAACTGAACCAATGTAAGCCATGTTTTCCCAGATGAAGATATTTCAGGAATCTGCAAGGAGATGCAAAATTTATTTTAAGAGTGGTAGATTACCCAAATCATACTAGGTCCTTATATCTTATTCTTGATTAGTAATGATGCTATTTCCAGACTTCAATTTCCCTTATCTGAAGTCTTTGAATACATTTCCTTGCTTCATATGTTATTTTTACTGCAAATAATAAAGTTAAGTTTTGGATAAATTTATTTCAATTAATACATACTGAGTACCTACGAGGTACCAATCATTCGGAGATCCAAATATATAAGCTCTGTGGCACACAGGAATCCAAGATCTCTGAAAACCTTTTTCTAAAGTATGCAGCTCTTCCTGATTTTCACTCCAGGCTACCAAATTTTAATTGATAACCTCAAAAATTTAAAAAAATAATTCTGGTATTATATAACCCATTTGCAACTAACAGTATTTGAGAAGAGGATATATTCAATAATTTATATTCTTTATTATTAAAATAAGCTCAATGAGTGATAAGACACTATAAACTGATTCTGATTTTTGTAGAATTTAGTACTGATTTATATGGAATAAAATACCTCAATAATATACTGATTTTCTTTAGTAGAAATATCAAGGCACATTCTTCATATATAAATGGATAAATCTCTATCCCAAATTTTGGTACTAGTAAGTATCATCTTGAAGCATATAGGAAGAAATAAGAATAAATCAAGATGTTAGAAATGCTGATTAAATCTGATTCTTATACCAATATGCTGAGAGAATATGCTATTCTCCTAACTTGGAGCTTGACAATCCTGGCAAAATATAATTTAGCGACTAAGAAGTTTTGGCAGATTCACTCATTCTCCACAGAACCACCGTATCTACAAAAACACCGCACACATTAAAAGGATCCCTATCCTAATCAGTAGGGTTTCCACTAGGAATTTCCAACTCCCAGCTCTTGCAGGCAATCATCTTTACATCTAAATGGAATTAAAGCATATCCAGGGATTTGATCCTAAAAATGGCTGGTCAGTTCCATGCACACATGGTGGGTCTTGTGGTCAGAGCGAGGTGTACTTTATAGTTTCAAATTAATTCAAAATGTAATCTTACCTGAAAGTTACGAAGAAATTAAATATAAAAGCAGAGCTACTCTTGTTGAGAGTATAAAGTAGTGGTGCCTCAAGACTTTCTACTGGCCCTTTTCCCTGATGTTTTTGAGCAGTGTTTGAAATTACTGCAAGAAATATTGACTAGACTTCCATCAGCAGGGAGGAGTGCCATGGCTGACATGCCCAAGGGTAGAATGTAATTTTGGCTTTAATTGCATAAAGTGGCATAGGTTCCTATTAGAATGACAATTTGTTAATTTGCTTAAAGAACACTCACGTTAATCCAAGTTAATCCAAGTGTGCATAATATTTGTAACAAAAGTAACCTAAAAAGTATAGTCCTGCCCACTAGTTTACAATGTAATCTAAAGATGACATGGACCAAGACAGAGACAACGGATTCTCCTTCCAACTTCCTGGGGATACTTAGAACTGTCTCCTGAAGCTTAATTCTCACTACCTCTCAATTTTTTTTTTGTTTGCGCATGTGCTTGTATGAAGTAAAGACACTTCAACTATCAATGTCCTTCGTGACCTGTGCTAGTGTGCATCCCCTGCTCTACCTCCTGTCATTCTCTACTGCCTGTACATTGCCCTCTCCCCATTCCCAGCTAGAATGCCTGTAAGTAATAGGAACTCATTATTTATTTGTCAGGTGAATAATCATCCTAGTCTCTGGATCCAAAATTTCATGATTCTAAGGTTTTGTGCAAAAGAAATCAGCTGTGTTTGTGCTATCATTCTCTTTCAACCAAAACAAAGGTAAGTAACTAAAGTAATATATCTAGAAACTTCCTTTCAGTTTAGTTTATCAAAGGTTTATTAACTACTCACTTGTTTCGAGTACCATACCAGGTGCTAGGGGAATTAAGCATAAGCCTATGGGGAGTTAGAGATGATTCTCATGTAGCTAACCAACCAGGTCTCATGTAGCTAAACCAACTAGGTCTATTATCAATCGGTTCATTTTGTAGTCCAATTTAATAAGGTCGAATCCCTACACCAAACTAAGTTTTAAATGAATCAAAGATTTACAAATAAAAGCCATATTAAAAAAGAAAAAAATTAATTTTTAAAGATGATCTTATAGTAGAAAAAGCCTTTTAAAATATAACCCCAAACCCAAAAGACATCAAAGAAAAAAGTGATATATTTGGCTGCATAAAAATAACAAAACTGAAAGCAGGGTGTGCCTGGGTGGCTCAGTCATTAAGCGTCTGCCTTCAGCTCAGGTCATGATCCTGGGGTCCTGGGATCGAGCCCTGCATTGAGACCCTCATCGGGCTCCCTGCTCAGCGGGAAGCCTGCTTCTCCCTCTCCCACTCCCCCTGCTTGTGTTCCTTTTCTGGCTTTGTCTCTCTCTGTCAAATAAATAAAATCTTAAAAAAAAAAAAAAAACCAACTGAAAGCAGAATTCTGCCTACACCCATCAAAAAAAGCCCACCATTACAAAATCAAAAGATAGTTTGGGGAAAAAAATATCTGCAACTTGTATTTCAAACAAATAACTAACTTCTTTAATGTTTAAAGGGCTCCTAAAAATCAATAAGGAAAAAGATTCAATACCCCAATGGAAAAATGGGAAAAACAGTTGACAGAAAGTAAATACAAAATGTTCAACCTCACTTATGACAGAAATGCAAATTAAAACAACAATAAATCACTATTTTCACCAATTGGAAAGTTTGGTAACATGCTGTGATAATGAGGACACTGAGAAATAATCCATTATTGTTGGGACATAACTGGTACAGCCTCTGTGAAGAGCAATCACTCAAAATCTATCAAAACAAACAAACAAAAAAAGCAAATATCCTTTGACTCAATAATTCTAGTTCTAGGAGTTATCACACCTGCACATATTCAAAATGACATTAAGTATAAAGATATTCACTGCAACACTGTCTACAATAACAAAATACCATAAGCAATTTAAATACCCATCAGTAGAGGACCAGTAAGGAATTTACGCTATATCATGCAATGAAATACTACGTTGCTGCTAAAAAAGAGTGAAGCAGCTCTCTCTATATATCTAAAATATATTAAGTGAAAAAATGCCAGGTGCAAAAAGTATGAATTTATTTTATTAAAAAAGAAGACTATTTGCATCTATTGTTGTGAATGCATACACTATCTCAGGAAGCATATACAAGAAACCAGTGGTGGCAGTGGTTACCTCTTTTGAGGGAATTATCTGCTTGTGACAAGAGAGCAAGGGAGGCTTACTTTCAACTGTTATTACTTAAAAAAAAAAAAAAACTACCTGAATTTTATACTATGATAGATATACATTACTATTAAAAAATTAAATGAGGGGCATCTGGGTGGCTCAGCCATTAAGCGTCTGCCTTCGGCTCAGGTCAGGATCCCAGGATCCTGGGATCAAGCCCCACGTCTGGCTCCCTGCTCGACAAGAAGCCTGCTTCTCCCTCTCCCACTCCCCCTGCTTGTGTTCCCTCTCTCGCTGT